TCTCTCCCTGTCTCCACATCCTTTGACATATGACTTCGAAGTTCCTCACAAGAGAAAGACAAAATATATTTTCCTGCCTCTCAACTCTGTGACATATTATGGCCAACAGCATGAGGCAGAAGTGACAGTGTGCTGCTGCTAAGACTAGACTTTAAGATTGACTGACGAGCTGCCAATTGCTTGCTGGTATCTGGACTATTACCAGGAGCAGAGCATGCCTGATCTAGCCCGGGGGCCCCAGGAGAAGCTTGAGAGATACATGGAGCAGAGCCTCCCCAGCAAATATGCCTAGATATGCCCAAGAGAGAGTAAGAACCCTCAACCTGCAGTAAAAACTCCCTGAACTGGGGCTGTGGCTCAGGAGTAGTGCACTTGCCTGGCATGTGTGAGGACTGGATTTGATTCTCAGCACCACATATAAATAAATAAAATAAAGATCTATCAACAACTAAAAATATATTTTTTAAAAAATTAATTTAAAAAAAAAACTAAAAATTTGCCTGGTGCAGTCTGCCTGAGGAGTAGTGAGTTCCCAGTCTCTGAAGGATTAATACAGAAGGAGCCCAATCTCCTCTGACAGTGAATTCCTACATTGGGAGGGTGGTTGGAACATACCGATAACTGTTCCCAGGCTTTTGCTCTTCCAAGGACAATATATAAAAATAACTACTGTTTACTACCACCATCAATTCATAAAAGATAGGATGTTTTAACACTAAAACTGAAGAAAGGAGACAATCTTAGAATACAGAACAGTCGTTTCTAAGCAAAGACTCTTGGCCATCCTCCATATGTGAGCCTTTTTTCTTTCATTCTGTCACAGATCAATGAAGATTTGGTCACTAAATAGCTCCCTTCCCTGTATGAGCAAATTTCCAGAATGTTTTATGTAGGAATAAGGGAGAACATGAAATCAGTTACATAAATTGTGATTTAAATCTTGGTTCTGTTTGTTCTATGACAACATAAAATTAGCTTTTTCTCCATCAAGGTAGAAAAAAAGCTAAAGACAAATTTGAGCACCTCCACTGCGCCTTCTCCATTGGCCACCACCGGCCTCGCTGAGCAATCAGTGCAGCTGTCAATCCCCTACTTCCACAGAAGGTTTGAGTTGCACTCTGCAGGCATCTGAGGTGCTGTGCTCTGCTCCCATGGCAATAATAGTGTGTGAGTTAAGAGGAAAGTGGTGATTCAAATGGAGGCTCCATGGGGGCTTCAGGAACACATGATGTGACAGAAGTGAGGGGCAGGGAATCCCGGGGACCAGCTCCAGGGGCACATATCTCAGTCACTTATATTGACCACCTTCTCTCTGAGCCATAAGGAATCAATTAATAGATGCTACTGTCATACTCTACCACACTGTGGAAGCCAGGCTGGTTCTGGCTAATGAAATGTGTGCAGTAATGGCAGGTATCAGTTTCAGGTAGAAGCTCTAGGGTCACCGTATGGCTCACCAAGTCTTTTTTTTTTTTTTCCTTCTAATTTAACATGGGACTATCAGAGTTTCCAACAGAGGTGGCTCCCTTGGTTTGAGGCCCAGATGAAAGTCTAAAATCAACCCCTGGGGCTGGGACTGTGGCTCAGCAGTAGTGCATCTGCCTGGCATGTGTGAGGCACTGGGTTTGATTCTCAGCACCATGTATAAATAAATAAAATAAAGATCTATCGACAACTAAGAAAAAAATTTTAAAAGAAATCAACCTCTGATGGGCATGAGACATCGGTAAGAAATAAACCTTATTTGTGGTTGGACTGCAAATTGGTGCAACCACTATGGAAAGCAGTATGGAGATTCCTCAGAAAACTTGAAATGGAACCACCATTTGACCCAACTATCCCACTCCTCAGTTTATACCCAAAGGACTTAAAGTCAGCATACTTCAGTAATGCAGGCATGTCAATGTTTATAGCAGCTCAATTCACAATAGCTAAACTATGGAGCCAACCTAGGTGTCCTTCAATAGATGAACGGATAAAGAAAATGTGGTATATATACTCAATGGAATATTACTCAGCTTTAAAGAACTGTGAAATTATGGCATTCGCCAGTAAATGGATGGAGTTGGAGAATATCATGCTAAGCGAAATAAACTAATCCCAAAAAACCAAAAGCTGAATATTTTCTCTAATATGCGGATATTAATCATAATAAGGCTGGGGGTGGGGGCACTAGAGAAGAATAGTGTTACCTTAGATTAGGTAGAGAAAAGTGAAGGGAGGGAAGTGGGGATGTGGGGATAGAAGAGGTAGTAGAATGAAACAGACATTATTACTGTATGTATATATGTGACTACATGACCAATATGATTCTACAACATGTACACTCAGAAAAATGAGAAATTACATCCCATCTATGTATGATATATCAAAGTACATAAATGCATTCTACTGTCATGTATAACTAATTAAAACAAATAAAAATCAATTAAAAAACTTATTTAATGGAAGTCATTGAGATTTGGGGTGCATCTGTTACTTAGGTACAACCAAGCTGACCTACACATTGCGACCTATACAATGGTGATGCCATTAGTGGGACTGGAAAGCTCCACAATAGTGACACCAGAGGAAGACGGTGAGTTTGCCTTAGGTGTGTTTCTGCACCTGAGCCCTAGGCAGGTGGAAGGCAGGAGGAGGGGTAAAGACAGAGGTGCCTGTCCCCATGGAGCACATGGACAACTGGGAAGGCAAGACAACCCTTGCATGTGTGGCTCTGATTGTTCCTAGGCTCTGAGGGGACTCATGCACATAGCAGGGCCCCATGTAGAGAAGCAAGGGCTATTCTTTGGAATTGGAAACCTGGGACCTAATCCCAGCTCCGACGCTTCATTCCCACCTTCAGCCATTCCCGTCATGGATACTTACTATACCAGGCACTAGGGGAACAGACAAGGCCCTGAGCCTGACAGGCTCACATTCAGGTAGGAGAACAGAAAACAAGAAATAAGACAAATAACAATGGGGTGAATGCCTTTAAGGAACTAAACAGGGCAAATTAAGGAAAACTGTTTCAGGTAACGAGTTCTCAGGAAAGAACTCTCTGAGGAGGGGACAGGTCAGAGGAAAAATAAAGATGTGTCAGCCATGCAAAGAACTGGGGAAAGAGAACTAATTCAAGCAGAGAAATCACAAGAGCAAAGGGCCGAGACAGAAAGAAGATGACTCATTTGGGGAGCACAAAATAAGTTCAGAGCTTTGAGAGAAAATTCTGGCATGTGGAGATTGAGTAGGACCTGTCACCTGGGGACATGTGGGCTCCAGGACGGAGTTTGGTTTTCACTGCATGTATAGAGAGAAGTAGGAGTGAGGGTACTGGCATGGGAGTGACAGGAACAAATTATATTTAAAAGATTTTCAGGATGTTATGTGGAGGATAAATCATGGAGGCCCCCAGTGAGAGAGACAGACCAACAGGGCACCCCATAGCCTGGATGGGTGGCCACCACTTTTGTGACCTTCAGCAGTCCTTCTCAGCACTGCATCTCAGCTGTGTGTCTGTAGAGTGCCAGCTGCCTGCACCTCATAGTTCATAAGTGCTTTGGGCTCCTGGAGGTGGGGATGAAGGTGCAGATGGCTCACCCATGCCCGCCCAGGCATGATTTCTTCTAAATGCCACAGCTGCCTCTCCTGGAGCCAGAAGCCACGTCCAGAGCTTGCCTGTGAGGGCCTCCCTCTGCCATCTGCCCATCAACCCTGGAGATACCCCAGTCTCTAGTGCACATCATGACTCTGGGTTCATCTCTCCATCTGGAGAAAACTGAGAAGACACAGAAGCTCGCCAGGAAGCAAGGAGGTAGTTCACAACATCAGAATAAATGCAGGGGAAATGCAGGCCAAGGGTGAGGCCAGTCAAGCTCCCGGGAGACTGGCAGACAGGAAACAGGCAGGTAAGGGTCAAATGGATGATAATGGTAGCAGGGAGATCATTTCTATCCAGGGGAGCTCCCAGGCAAACCTGAGCTCAATGCTGGCTAGGAAGGGAAGGTTCAGGGAGCAAGGTCAAGATTCAGCTTCCCCAGAGGAACTAGATGGTCTCTGCCCAGCTGCTAGAGGGTGAGGCCACAGGCAGCCAAGAGGAGACATCCCAGCTGAGACCGTCCTGAATCAGCCAGCCCCATCTGGCCCTCTAGCTGCTCAGAGACACATGAGCAAGCTCAGCCAAGATCATCTGAGCCCAACCCAAACTAGAACTGCCACACTGATCCAGAAATTCATGAAAAAACAATAAATGCTTGTTTGCCTGAAGCTGCTGACTTCTGGGGCAATTTGCTTTGCAGCAATACTAACTGATACAGAGGGGACTGGTGGCTGGTAACCACTCCTATTTCCCTGTAGCCAGTCTGCTGAAGTCACAGTGCTGTTTCTTTGCTTGAAGTCACTACGTAAGCACATCACTGGAGTGGAGTCATGAGCAGTGAAATGTACTCTTGAACTTGACTTTCAAGTTCCTTGGCATGTCTTATGAAAACCTCTTCCTCTCTCTGTGCCTCAGTTTCTTATCAATAATGGAGGGATTGAATGACTTTCAATACCTAATCCTCTGTGTTTGGACAACTCTAACCTCTCTATTCAGCCATCTGTCATCTAATCAACATGGATTTTTTCAGAGTTTACAGTGTTAGGCTGTGGCCAGAATCCCAGGGTACAGGCTTAGACACAAAGCTGTGGGTCTTGCCCACCAGGATCTCTGTACCCACTGAGAACTCACTGCCTTGTAAGTATTGGGAAGATGCCTTAAAGGAGCCTTGATGGCCCAGGAGGTCACATGGTGACAGCAGTAGAAAGGACTCATGTTTACCTTTCCCAGCAGATATAGTGGTCCAGCACACCAGGTGCCTCCAGGCTCCTAGACTCCTGCTGGAGCTGCTGGGGCCACAACAGAGGCATCCTTGAGCCTAAAGACTTGGTTATAGCTACCCTTCATGACCCATGCTCCAGCCAGAGAGTGGCAGATGTGTATTCACTCATCTCTTCTCAAGCCCAGAAAATGGCCCTACCATGGAACCAGGGAGCGATCGACTTGGTGTTCCTCTCGAAGCCAGCTCGGCGAGGCAGCTGCTCCTCCTTAAACCAGCGGACAATGACTTCTCTGGAGAGTGGACGCAGTGGGCGCTCCCAAGTCCTGCTGAGAAGACAGGGAAAGTGGAAGAGTCAGGGAGGGATGGAGGAAGGAGGGAAGGGGAAGATAGGGAATAGGAAGAAGTGAGAGGGAGGAGGAAGGGAGTGGAATGAAAAAGGAAGGGAGGGAGAAGGGGAAGAGGAGACTCTGAGCATGAATAAGCACAACAAGTCCAGGTACTTGTTGGCACTTTGCAGATTATTATGTAGCAGCTATTATTGTTTTTCCCCCAAAGGACACTGTTAACACTTGCTGCAAATAATACCACACAGGTGAGAGTAGAAAGAGAATAAGAGATAACCAAAGCAGGGGAAAGCCTTATCCTTCCCTGGCATAGGCCAGGACATAAGCATCAGCATCAGCAAATAAGGATGCTAGCAGAGCAGGAGCAAATTTATTAATGTGGGAGTGTCCTCTACCCACCACTAAAGTGAGTTCTGATTTTTTACCTCCCATGCGTTCCCTCTGCCCTGCCCTGTCCCTGAGGGGACACCTGCCTTTGCCATGTAGCTCCTGTGCTTTTGTGAACAGAATCAAGAAAATGCACAGAAAGAGACCAAAGAACATTAATTTGCCCTGGAAATGCTGATACTCTCCACCCAGGAAATAAAGAACATAAGGGAGAGGAGAGAGAGGGGAAGGGAACAAAATTTCACCATGGCCAGGATATCAGTGAGGGATGGAAGATGGAGGGAGAGAGGAAGAAGCAGCAGCAGGTGAAGATCTGAGTGATAAATTGGACACTTTTCATATTTTCTCACAAGAAAGTGAGGATTTCCATTGCTTTTGTTTCTGAATGGTGGTTCTTGAATGCACAGAAATTGGGCCACATAAGACCCCTGTCGTATCTGAGTTATACTAAAATAAAGCACATTTGGGAGTTAGAGAGCACATGCCAGGTAACAGGCCAGGCACCCAACAACTGTTTGCTGAATAAATATGTAGTAAGACCACCCTGTGTTAATTTTTGCTCTGAAAACACAAGTCCTGAAGAACAAAGCCTTGGCCCACCTTGGACATCCTTAGCCTCTTCACTGGTAGGAACCTGGTAAATTCTTATTTTGTCACTACTGTCTACCTACTCGTTGTGGCATTGGTTTCCTTTTTTAAAACAAACAACTGTTTGTTGCCATTGGTTTCCTTTTTTAWAACAAACAACTTTATATTTTCTTTGTACCAACATTTTGACGCTGAGCACAGTACCTCCTTTCAAGCCTCAGAATAGACCTACTTACATACACATGTATATGCAAACACACACACACACACACACACACACACACACACACACAGTACTGAACACTGTAGAGTTCAGAAAAGATTCTGGAAAAAAGACAAAGGATGAAGTTACATTTCACAGCTTATAGCCAGTGTATCTGTCCAGGCTCTGCTTCTCCACCTCTCCACCCCGGAGCCAGTCCTGCTCTCTACTCTGTCCTCCCATGGGAAGGTCCCCTCCTTCTCAGTACCCTCCGGTGCCATTCCTCTCAACTAAGCAACACAGGGCAGACCATCCTCTTCCTCTACATTTGTATTCCCCCCAAAATAACTGTGTCAGAGGAAAGAATCCTTAGTTTCTAGGACTCTGTCTCCTTAGAAGGTAATAGGAAGGTTAAAAATAACAGCAAAAAAAAAAAAAAATGCACTCCCTCTTGTCCTTCTGTTTCCAAGCAGTAAAACTGAATTGTTTCTACATAGAGTTTTGATTTTTATTTATGTTTTTTTGTAGTGCTGGGGATTGAACCCTACGCCTTGCATGTGCTAAATGCATGCTCTACCAGCCCTTTTACATTTACATCTAAGCTACATTCCCAGCCCTTTTTTTTTTTTTCATTTTAAAGGCTGGACAGGGTCTTGCTAAGCTACCCAGGCTGGCCTCAAACATGTGATTCTCCTACCTCAGCCTCTCTGCAGAATTGCTAGGATAACAGGCATGCACCACCACACTCAATCTAAACAGAGAATTTCTAAGCAGGGAATTTGATTCCTCAGAATATAAATGCTAGGGCAGGTGCTCCAATGGGGCCACCTGGCCAGAAGCTTCATTTCTGCACCTGTGACTCTCCTCCTATCAGTAATGTGGGTCTACCCCTTAGCACAGACAGACAAAGAGGTGCTGGGCAGGGCCAGCACCATCAAACCGAGGTCAGTGGTGCTGGGAGGACAGATGTACACCTCTCTGTGTGCCCAGTCCTGTTGCTCCAATTACCTGGCATCTTGACCCCCTCAAGGCCTGCTGCAGGGCCACCCCTTCCCTACTGACCACACAGCCAACCTGGAGCCAAGTTGCACCATAGTTCATATGGTTCTATCATCTGGGCAAATTATGGGTTTCTTAAAAAAACACACACACACACACACTCACACACAAAAGTGGAGGTGAGCTTTTCTAACTATTCAGAAAACATAACAAAATTAAACCTCAGGAAAAATCAAGAATTTCTACATGATGGAAAATTCCATCACAAACATCAAAAGATCAATGACAAGCAGAGAAAAAAAATACTTATCACAAACAAAGAATCCTTTTCCCTAACATGTAAAGAGTTCCTAGAAATTGATAAAAAAAAAAAAAGTTAGTTTGACAAAGCACTGTTGGCCGGGCTAAAGAATAAGAGTGTGCTGATATAAGGAGGATGATTCATAGTGGGGCTGGGGCAGGGAGCAAGAGAGGAATAGACAAACTGTAGTTACGGCAATGGGGTGGGAGGGGAAGGGAGAGGGCATGGTGGTAGGAAAGACAGTGGAATGAGATGGACATCATTACCCTAAGTACAAGTATGAAGACACGAATGGTGTGAATATACTTTGTGTACAACCAGAGATACGAAAAATGGTGATCTGTATGTGTAATATGAACTGTAATGCATTCTGCTGTCATATATAACAAATTAGAATAAAAAGTAAAATTTAAAAAAAGAAGAAGAGTGTGAATTGGTACCAGTCTTGAGGAGGGCAAGCTGAATTGTTAATGCACTTAGACCTTGACCCAGTGATCCCACTTTTGAGAATTCCTCTTTCAGATAATGATTGCATACATATAATTTCTATCATTCTGTCATTCATTCAGGGCACTGTTGGTTATAACCAAAGATTTGAAACAACACTAATGTCCACTAATAGAGTTTTTGATAAATAAATTACAGCACATCCATGCAGTAGAATACTGGGTAGCTATTAGAAGCGGGTGGGGGTGGGAATAAGACTTTTCATGTTGGTGACTCTAAAGAGAAGCTGGGTGGGCACAAAGGACACTAAAGAGCCATAATGACCTGTGGGGAAGAGGGACTTTGGCAGATGGAATGCAGAGGAGGCAGTCAGATTCTTCTTGGTGCAGTCTACCTTATTAAACTTTCTGCTTTGAGAACCTTACATGACAAGAAAGGAAAGGAGTGGGGAGAGAAGGAGGGAAGAACTGGAGACCTGGTCAGCTCTCCCTGGACTGCAGGGGAAGGAAACAGGAGGTTATGAATAATCTCAAACTCCAATTAAAGCACAATTCATACCACCCCCACTCTCTGGTGGTGAACTGACTTCCAAAGTATTCCCTGTAGTAAAGGGAGCAGCAGGTGCTCACCACCCACCTCTGGGCCCTGCCTGTTGTTTTTTTTTTTTTTTTTTAATTCCCCTGAATATAAATGCAATCATGTGGAATGGGGTCTAAGAGGAGCCAAACTCCAGGGCTGGCCTTCAGTGGGGACAAGTGGAAGGTTCAGAGGCCCGCCACAACCTCTTGACCTTTAGTCCTGGCAATCATGGGCAGTCCTTGCTGAACAAACCTCCTGGGGACACAAAGGTATATGAGGACCCTCCTGTACTCAGCCACACCTACTATGCAAATCTGCTATTCAGACAGGATAAACCAGCATCATTGGTATGTAGAAAAGGCCCAAACCCTGGATTCTGGGTTGTTGGGCCTTATTACACCAATCTGAGGCCTTTCGTTATAACTTGCTGACTAGGGCCCATGGCTCTTTAGGAATTAAGAATTGTGTGCATTTTGAGGTATTTATATTATATGCACATTTTGAGGGGAAGAAGGTATCCAGCTTTCTTCAGATTGTCAAAGGGACTCAAAGGACTCTAAATTGTTAGAAATTTCCAAACCCCATCCTACTGCATCTTCTTCCACACCGAACACAGACTAGGCACACAGAGGGGAAATTACTAGCAGGTCAGGGGCAGAGCCCAGAATGGAACTAGGTGTGGCATGCCCCAGTTCAACGCTCTCCCCACAACCCCACAAATGTCAATGTGGAGCCTCGACTCACCTCACAGGCACAGCGAGGGGTGGTGGTGGACCAGGACCAGGAAGATGGTGGTAGAGTCTAGATTCCTGCTCATGGTTCTGGCCGAGCTCCTGGAACATGGAGCTAAGGCCAGCAACTGTACCCTTCTGGATGGCACGGAGTGAGTGGCGCCGGTACTCATCTCTGGCATGCTGGGCCCCACGGCTCCTCTCCTCATCAGCTGCCTTGGACCTGCGCACTGAAAAGGGGGAGATGGTGTATTGGTCTTCACCTATGGCCCAGGCTATAACACTGTGCACATACAGGTGGATTCTCTAGAAGCTGGCCACCAGACCTATTTGTGCTACAGGGGGGTTTGGAGCCTCTGGAAATAGTAGGGCAGGCTTAGCCCTAAAAGCATGGAGGAAGGGCAGAATCTTTTGATAACTTTCACTCTTCATGTATAAATACATGAAGGTATTTATAGACTCCAAGACACCCTTCTTTTTGGCTTTCCACTTTTTCATGTTCCTCAAGGTAGAGCCCTGTCACAGCCAAATGGCCTTGAAAAGGCCAGTATATTGCTGCTTCAAAAACCCAGAAAAGTCTAGACTGAGGAAATGAAGGAAAAAGAAAAAGTCTATTGAAGTCAAGGCCTGCCATTAAAATGAGTTATTTTGTGGTTTGATTGCATCTTGTCACACCCCTATCTGCCACTCAAATCCATAAGTTCTTTGTTAGAAAACCCCAAAGCTAGCTTTGGTCTTCTAATTGTGCAAGGCTAGTCATTGTCCTGATTCAGCAGTTCACCTTCCCCTCTTGGAGGAAAATGATACTTGTAGTCCACTTGTCCTCCACCTCCATTCAACGGTCACATAGCAACAACCCACCACCTATCAAAAACTGCATTTTTATTAGTATTTGGAAGATACAAAGTAAGTTGCCCTAGTCCCAGAATAAATCATTTCTCCTTCACAGGTAGTCAAAGAACTTTTTCTGGGAGGATATCATAACTGAGAAAAAAAGTCTGTCTTTAAGAAAGTATTTATAGAAGTACCCCTCATGGAAGTCACATACAGAATATCCACTTGGCTGTGAGCTCCATGAGGGCAGATAGGGAATTTTCTTTGATCTGCCCATTATTGGATTCCAGTGTCTGGAAAGAGTTGGCAAGCAATACACATTTTTGGATGCCTGAATGCACCTGATTAAGTTTTTAACTTTGTATTTGGCCTTGAGCTGGATCAAGAGATAACAAAGAGACAGACCCTTATTTCAAAGCTCTCTAGGCCAGGGTAGGAAAACAAGATAAGTAAATATCTCCACCTTAATGAAGCAGAAGCAGGCCGTGAGCATCATTTAAAAGAGGAACAATAAAGTACTGTCAGCATGTAGGGTCTGCAGCCCTCACAACCTGCTAGGGAGCTAGAACCATAACAGAGGGGAGAATTGAACTGGGCTATGCTATAAGGTAGATGTGGTTTGTTCCCATCAAAACTCATGTTGAAATTTGGTTGCCAGGTAGTGGTGTTGGGAGGTGAAGCCTTAAGAGGTACTAAGATTTTTTTCTGTAGTGGGCTAGTTTCTATGGGATAGATTATCCAAAGGTTGTTATAAAGTAGGTCTACTCCCTTGTTCCCTCCCTCTCTCCCTTGCTTTTGCACTTCCAGAACCATGAGAAAAAAATAAACCTCTTTACTTCATGAATTACTTAGTCTCAGCTATTCTATTATAGCAACAGAAAATGAACTAAGACTGTCTGGAAAGATCAAGAGGAGTTTAGCAGAGAAAGGAAGAGGAAAAGGCCATTCCAGGAAGAAAAGCTGTGTTTGGGGTCCCATTGACTCCTCTGTAAGTTTCAGATAGTAAGAACACCATGAAACCTGCCTYGCATTGTCGGGAGGAGGTTCAGACAAGATCAAGATGCCCTGGGACAGGCTTTGCACTGCTTTACAAACTAAACGGCAAACTAAACATTAGAAGCTCATGCCCTACAAGGAATTCTGGAAGTTGCAGAGAGACACAGTGACACTCAAGTGATTAATAGACAGGGGTTTTGCTCCTGGCTCCCTGTTTGGCTTGGGACAACTTCTCATCTCTCTGGGTCTTAGTTTTCCCTCCCTAAAAAATGGAGCCAGTAGCATCCTCATCCAAGGACTGCCAAATAGCTAGTTTACTCTAGAATCATGCCCTTATCTGTGCTCAGGGCTCCCGCTCAGTTTTCTGACACAGCGGTTGTTTTTCCTCTTGACAGAATCCCCATGAGCAGTTACACAGCTCCATAAGTACAACCAGGCTAGTTGTTGAAAGAGAAAGGATTTTTACCTATTTCAACAACAGGCAAGGTGTCTGCATTTATTCAGCACGTGTCTTAGGCCTACTCGGTGCCTTTTCCATGCTGTATAGGGACACTGCTTTTACTGCAAACGGAGCACTATACAGCTCCTGGGGGCACATTCACAGCATGGTCACCATAGAAGTGTACAGTGGTTCTAACAATTTTCTGACAGATGGAAGTTCAGCATCTTAATGAGTGGGTCTCTAGATCAAGATCACCATTATCAGCGGGCGGCTGCGCCTGTGGTAGGGCATGTCTTGCCCTGAGAGGACTTACTGTCTCACAGAAGAAACACATCTGTGAGCAGTGAATGGAATTGTGGTGGGGGTGTGCACAGGTGCTGGGGCTCCAGAGGAGGGACACCCCAGCCAGCCAGCGACATCCCCTGAAGGGGAAATATCTAAGCTGATGTCCGATGGACACACAGGACTCAACCAACAGAGGCCAGAGGAAGGACATCCTAAGCAGAGGAAGATCATGTGCAGAGACCCAGAGGCAAGAGGGAGCGGAGCATGGACAGAGGGAAGTGCTCAGAGGGAGGGGACAAGTGACAAGGCTGAAGAAACAGAAAAGGCTATTTGGGAGATCAATAGCTTATGGCTAATGAGTTCTAATCCTTTACCAAAAGGTGATTGTAAGTCACTGGAAGGTTTCAAACAAGAAAGAAGGATGCTAGTTGCACTTTTAAAAGACTGATTGGGCTACCGCGTTGGTAATAAATTACACAGGAACAAAACTAAAGAACTTAGAAAACAGAAATTCAGTCAGGCCGAAGTGGGACTTAGATGGTCTCAGGAAAATGGCCAGGGCAATCGGGATGAAAACTCAGAGAAATTAACAAGTAGAACCCTCAGAACCCTGGAAGGTTTTAGATTGGTAGTGAGCAACAGGCAGAGAGCAGAGACGGCCAAGTTTCTACCTTGGACAACCAGAGATGAGCAGGTGGGGTAGGGGTGAGCTTTAGACATGAGGAGGAAGTCTGAGAGGAAAGGCCCAGGAGGCACTTGGTTCTAGAAAATCCTGAGTCTCTGCCCCTCATGAAACCCCTCTTCAGTGGATTGGCCTCCTGGTTCCCAGGGTCATGCCCACTCCCCTCCCCTGCACAGTGAGAAAGGAACCAGTGTCTCCCTTCAAGTTCATTTGATCCAGTTACATCCTACAGAGGAACCGGATGCTTCAGAGCAATGTCAATTTGTAGTGAAGAGTAGATTGTCACCGAAAACTAATGAGTAATCCAATAATATAGCAAAGGCAGCGACAGAGATTTAAATTGTGTTTGTGTGTGTATAGATATGTTTGGAAACTGCTCTATGTGGTCGTGGGCAACCCAAATTACCATAGCTACACTTTATTTATTCATCTATAAAATAGGGTCCTCATAGGCCCCACTGAGATGYAAACGAAATATGGAAGAAATCTGCACAGCACCTGGCACAAGGTAGAACTTCACTAAATGTCATCTAGTGTTTACTGTTATGTAGGCTGAGACAAGGGGACTGGTACACATCCTCTAGGAAGAGTTTACCCCTAGGTGGAAGTTGGGGGGTGGCTTACGGCAGGGAGCTGGGTGGAGTCAGAGGCTCCAGTCGGGGACTGGGGGAAAATGAAAACTTGTGTAAAGGTGAGGTTTCCCAAGCACAGGGAAGTAAGAATAGGTGGCAAGGTACACACAGGCCTCTGGAGACTCAGCCTGGTAGAGTCCCAGTCACCTGCAGGAATTAGCAGGTTTGGTACTAAAGATGATAAAGACTGAGAGGTGAACCTCTCGAAAAGCAAGTGAAGTTTTCCCACAGCCAAGGTATGCCTAGAAAAGGGGCCCTAAGTCCCAACTCAGAGACTTCCAAGGTCAGCTGCCAAACATCCTTACTGGCCAGAAATGCCAGATGTCTGCCAACAGTGACCCCCTGTGGCCTCCAGAAGCAACTGCAGCCACTCTTGAAGGCAGAAGAATGTTGGACTAACTGGTTGCTCAGGGGTTCCTGAGCAACTGGAGAGCAGACAGAACCCTACACAGGGCACAACTGGACACGTGGAAGCTCAGACACCTAGACAGTGGGGTGCACTTCAAACTACAGATGGTTTCCAACTTATAATTTTCAATTTAATGGGGGTATGTAGTCAGTAGAAACCATACTTCAAGTTTTGAATTTGGATCTTTTTCTAGGCTAGTAATAAGCAGTCCCATCTTCTCTCACAGTAGCAAGCCACAGTTCTTTTTTTTTTTTTTTTAAAGAGAGAGTGAGAGAGAGAGAGAGAGAGAGAGAATTTTTAATATTTATTTTTTAGTTCTCGGCAGACACAACATCTTTGTTGGTATGTGGTGCTGAGGATCAAACCCGGGTCGCACGCATGCCAGGCAAGCGTGCTACCACTTGAGCCACATCCCCAGCCCAAGCCACAGTTCTTTATCAATCAGATGACCACAAAGGTGAACAACGGACACACTACAGGGTGCTATGTTGCTGAGCCAGGATGTTCTGTAGTTTAAGGGGATGAAATGCATTCTAAGTTTGCCATATTTTTGATTTATGATGAATTTAAGAAGATATCACCTTGTCCTGAGTAAAAGACCATCCCTAGTTACCTCCAGGGAGAAACTTCAGGACCCCCCCATCCATGGATGGAAAACACCCCTCTTTTATATTATATTTTAACTTTCTTTTCAGCCCCAAATTCCACTCTGCTCCATCCCACTTCCAGGCCAGATGCCAGTTTCACAAGCTCCTCCAGGTTCCGTCTGTCCCAAGCTCACAGCATTTTGGAATCACTGATATTCAGCTGGGTGCAGTGTTGCAAACCTGTAATCCCAGCTACTCAGAGGCTGAGGCAGGAGGATGGCAAGTTTGAAGACAGCCTAGGCAATTTAGTGAGACCCTGTCTCAAAGTAAAAAGGGCTGGGGATAGAACTCAGTGGTAGAGCA